TCTGACCTTACCGATGATCGATACAATTAGTAGTGGTAGAAGGGGGAGGAAGGCATTAAAAATCTATCAACGAAAATCAATTTGCATGATGGTCCGTTGGTTCCTTTCCTCCTATATAGGCTTCAGCTTCATGTCGGATACCCATGTTTTGTGTCTTGTTTGTATTGTTTGCGAAGCAAAGCAAATGACGTCACTTTTTCCCTTCATTCTACAACAGCGCATGTTGAGATTTCGATACGATAGTTTGAATATTCACTCTCTTGTCTGGCTTCAGACTTGACTTCTCTAACGTTGAGCAAGACAGCGTTTAAGCTTCCGATAGGACGGTAGGTTGTTTAAATGCTCCATAAAAAATGTTTTCCATTCATATACCGGAAGTGAAAAATAGAATTTCAGTGATTAGTTAAGTAGATTATTGTATACTTCAATCAAATAAATACAAGGGTTTATGGTCATACGCATAATATTTGGCTGAATTACAATCACATGATACGTAAAAATACAAATAGTATTTATTTTTTTAAATAAATAGTGTAATTAAATTGTTGTCGGTGTTAGTTTAATTTATCAAGGGACGATACCCGTACGATCACCGAAGTTAATCATCTCCACGTTGCCGGGTCTTTACCTTGACACGTGACTGCTTAGGAACACTAGGTGCTGTAAGCTTGAATGTGTAGATGGTTTAAAAAATAATGGCTCGGAATTGTTAATCGGAGAGCTAAGTTCCAGTTCCCGTTGTTTTCGTTATAATCACTTAAGCTTAAATACCATTAGGACAAGTATGAATCTACCTCTTCTACCCCCAACTATGGATTAATTTGTAAGACTTGTATCATTAAACCATTATTATAAAAAAAATATCTTACAATCTAAAAACATTATGTCTTTAAATAACATTGAAAGGACTGATACGGTATTTACATTATTTGCATTTATTGGACTGTTATCCTCATCTTCACTGACACATTCACAAAGTTTCGGCAGTTGGAATTTTGAACAGGACCCTTTATTTCGTCCACTGAGGTAGATTTTTCTAGTTCTACGTACCAGGCATCTTTCAGATGTTTCAGTTATTTTCCTTTAACTCAATTTTCAAAGCTTGGTTCACCACTGATGTGGTTTAGTATTGAACACATAGGTCTTTTGTGCCTGGTTTTTCGATGTAATCAACGTCTTTATCCAATTTGGATCTAGTTACTTCATCTAACCAACGTCTTTATCCAGTGAATATGGCAATGTAGATGAGGATAATAGTCTGAATAATGTAAATAATATAATAATACCTCATCTCCGAGATATAAACAGAGACTGATAACCTGTACAAATGAAGCAACCAATCAATCAATCAGTCTTTTATCAATGGTTAAATTGATAAACGAAAGTTTAATATCGACACTCTTTGTAATCGGGGAACTGCTTAAACACCCTAGAAAGTGTTTCTCTTAATATTTAACAAGTACCAAAGCAAATTTGTATTATTAGTCATGTAGCTTTCTGAATAACTCTGCGAAGTAACTTTTTGTTTTATTCATAATATTTGTGCGAAATGCATGAAATTTTATTCGTTTACGGAGAATTAAATGGAACATATTTCTGAATTTCTGAACGTTTGAAATTTAGAAACTTTCTTTTACTAATTAACTTTTACTTCCGGCTTTATTTCAAATGAAAATAGATTTCTCAATTCCAGTAGATGTTATCACTCTTTCCAGTACTGATGGGTGATTTTTTTTCCTAACATTTTATATGAAGTATTCTAGAACATCTTATGATATTATTTTCTCTGCATGTAATATCTATTTTAGCTCTTGCCGTTATTGAAATTCCTCAAGTGATGTGGTTTCTTCTATTAGGTACATTTCTATGTGATTCTCTAGCACCAGTCTACATGTTTCGAAGAAGGATTCTCTTCGCCAAGACACACGCGCTAGACTCACCAAAGTCATTTTCAATCACTGACCTTAAAAAGCGTTTGTATACAGCTTAGGGTTTAGATATGTCTAAACGTGTTTTAGTGCTTATGCCTTGCATTTTTATGAAAATCTTGATCTGACGAATCTTTTTAAGATCATGATTCCTGTTTTCAGCTTAATACGTTGGTTTGTTTTGTAGCATTTGTACTGTTGTTGGAAATATCTATAGCGTAGATTCTATGTACAGTTAACTTTTTAAATGGATCGATGGAAAAATGCATAGTTTACAACAAAATAAAGATCCAACGTTGCTAGGGAAAACGAAAGACCAACCGTAAACCGCTCCAAATCCGGTCTTCATGCGAAGGTATTGTTGTGTAATTAGTTGGATTGCGATGGCAGTGTACATTACGAGGTTCTTCCACAAGATCAGAAATTGAATTCAGAAACATATTCTTCATAACTGGATCGATTTAAGGTAAAAGTCATGGAAATACGTTCGCAAATTGGTCAATCGGCAGAGTGGTATCTTCCATCAGGATAATTCTAGACATCACGACACTTGGCAAAACCTACAGAAATTTTAATAGCTTCACCGATATATACCGTTATATCCGACGTACTCACATGACCGTACACCCTAGCTAGTTACTTATTTTGATTCTTTTAAAATTGTATTAGCAGGAAGAGCTTCAATGAACTGGAAGTCTGTAAAAATAACCATTTACACCAAAAAGATGCCAATTTCTGACTGGCTGAAATTATGAAATTGTCTCAAAGACGGTGAAATGCGTTGGACAGAATGATGCATATGTAGTTGAATAAATATGTACCAATATATAAATACTTTCTTGGAATTATATTTCTTCTGATCTAATATATATATATATATATACACACATTAAGAATTGGACAAAGTCCGACAATTTATTAAAGACATTTTTTTATGTTTAACATTCTTTTTATAGATACAAGTATTTAAGTAAATGCTCTGTTTATAATAAACAGTATTAAATAACATTTACCGGCCTGAATGTCCGAGAAATTTTCATTGAAAATATTCGTTATTTGACAAGATTCGGACCTACATCCTATACGGAACCGTCATTTATATATATATATATATATATATATATATATATATATATATATAAAGTTGTAGACTCTGTGTGTTTGTTTGTTTGTTACCAAACACCTCCTAGGGTTTTGTAGACAGACCCCATAACAATATATATTCTGAAACTACATTAGCCAGGGTGTTTAAATAAGTATACTTTATTTTGATCAAAAGGTGTCCCCGGGGCACACCCCCGGTTAAATTTTCCCTTTTTATATAAATTTAATTTAAATTTGACAAGGTAATGACTCCTTTCCAAAATATACAAGGATAAAGCCAGAAGATGGAGGTCAAAAGGGCAAGATCAAAATGAGTAAAGTGAGTGTCAAACAGAGTAAAAATTCACCAATCAGTGGGTAGTGCCTTACACTACATAATTGTTGCGACAATTAATCTGTCATATCAATTTGATATCTGCTCATCAGTTAATTCAATCAAGTATTGCATCAGATACATATCAAAGGGGTGAGATCAAGCTGTTTTAACACAAACCTCCCACTGAATTTTTTCCCCTTTAATTTCAATTAAATTTAAATTTGAACAAGAGAATGACACCTATCCAATATATAGAAGAAAGCAGAAGATGGAAGCCATGTCGGCAAGATAATTAGATAATAGTGAAATGTATCATTTTTCTCCACAAATTATAACAATGTTTTAAAATCAATCATCATTTTCTGACAAGCAAGGGGCGGGTAACTCTGCTTGTATTAAATAGTTTCCCTCATGGATAAAAATCGTGAATAGATACTTACAAAACATAATTAAATGCATTCAGAAAAATAAATAATTTGTAGAAGGAGTTTAATGTATGAGATTGATAGTCCCAGATGTATCTTTCCAAAATATTTTTTAAATACCATGACCTTTAGAGCGTAGGTGATCTTAGTTTTCAAGCATAACTCTTTTCTTTATTATTTTTACATATCATGATCACGAACGCTTTTACTCAAGGCGCAGGTAGATCTTTTCATAATATCACTTATCCCATATAACTGTTTACGTTTAAACCTGTGAAGTTAGTATCTGCCGGCGTAGAGCTTTTATTTATTTAAAATTTTTCTTAAAACCTTATTTGGATTAAGAAATCTCTACGCAGTAGAATTATTTTTGAGAACTGCGCATTTTTCAGTTAAGTTATTTGCGGAAAATGATTGGTTCTAGTTGATACCGAGTTAGATTTAAAAGCTGAAGGCAAGTAAGTTGAATGCTTATGAACGAGCTTTGAAAAGTAAATAACTAAACGATAATGGAATGCGGAAGATCTAAAAACAAATAAAATCCCAAACCAAGAAAGTTGAAAGCGGAGAAAACAGGAAACGCGCACGTTCTTGAAGATAGAATGTCGATTTTCTTTTGTCTATAATTCGATATTCCTTAAGAAACATTAGTCGATATTCTTTAAGAAATAAAACTGGGATTTACAAAAAAATATAATTCTAAATCATTTCCAACATTACAAAAAATTAGAAAAAAAAAAACACGCACACACACAACCCAAACATTTCCAATATACTGATGTGTTGCTTTTACGGGTTGTCAACCCTTAGTATGTTACTTACATCCAAAACTTCGTTTGTATTATCAAAATAATCTTTTTGGAGCGCGAGTGAATATTGAATTAAAAGATTAATAGAATTCAAATGACTTTACCAGATAAATGTGCAAACTCTTTATCCGATATGTCGGGGGAGGAGATGAATTTATAACTTTCCTAATGGCATCTGCACGTATGGGAATACAATGCATACGACAGGATTTCGGAATCAGCTCTCCTTTTCGTAGTAATTTCGTATGTGCAAATAAATGCTAGCTCCGTCAGACAATCAGTTGAGTTCAACATATAAGAAACTTAATGATTCGAATCCTGACATTCTATCTTCAAGAACGTACGCGCAGCAGAATTAGACCGGAAATAGGATGAGAAATGTACAGTTTTGTCAACGACAGTGAAACACGAAATGGAG